GGCTTGGAAAGTTTAGATTCAGTCGGGAGAGATTCTGGCTTGTGGGTGAAAGCTAATAAAAGCTATCGAACTAGCCCTGTACTGTCTCATGGAGTTCTTTGGGCTGAACCTGACAATAGCCCACAGCTGGATAGTGGGTGGGGCAAGAGGCTCAGAAGAGGCCCTCCCTAGTTTCTTGGGCTGTAAAGGAGACGATGGGAGATTTGTACTATCAGACTTGCAAGACTGATGTCAGTCTTACTAGATAAACCAGACAGGAAACACAACCAGATGAGCTAATTCTACTTTATTAAAAAGCCATATTAACAGTATCTTGCAGGTCTGAAAGTACTAGTCTCCCGCTGTCTCCTTTACAGCCTGAGAAACTAGGGAGGTTTTTTTTCTGAGCCTCTTGCCCCCCTCCAAGTCCAGCTGCAGGCTATGCAGTGTTTTATCTGGCCATTCTCTTGGCAGCATTTCTTCACCCTGTCTCCCAAGGTCTTTCCCACATATCATTACGTATATTTAGAGCATTGATTTCTGACCTGACATGATTTTTCTCTCCACACATTGCTTTGGAGATTAGGTAAGAGCGTGACGGGTTCCCACTGAGTATTTTGACAGTGCGCCTCTTTTTAGAGCTTATTTGTTCCCTTGTAGGATTGTCCTAGATTCTTGGATCTAGGGTTGTCTAGGGACAACCTACAGCCACAGGGTTAAATGCATTCCCCAACTCCCTTTTTGCAGTCCTTGGAATGCCATTTTCTGATAGAAACTTGTGGAAACTGTAGTAACCCCTACAGCAGACAGATCAATTAAAAAACAAAGAATTTCTCCCAGCCGGTACTACCTGTCCAATGCAACTCCACCCGTTTTGCTGTCCTCATTCCCCCACTCAATCTAGAAGAGACATTAGACTGATTCATAGGCACAATGGGAGTAGGGTTATGGAAACTCTACTGGACAAGGATACTTGTGGTGCTTTTTTTTCCATCCCAGCCAAACAACTAGGAGGTCTATCCTAGAGGGAAATTATCATTAAAAATCTGCTCCTTGATTTACTTTATACATGAAGGGGAAATATTCAAATAATCGTACAGGAGTTTTCTTGTTGGTTCACATCAGCCTTTTCTATCTCGAATCCAAGATATTAAAAGATCATCGTCTAAGTAAATGAAATGGCTCCTCTTCCTCTGGGGTCTCCCTGACCCCAAAGGGTTATTTAGGGTGACCACTTACCTAGAAATTTAGGGGTTACCATCCATGACACTGTTTTCCTTCCATTTGCACAGATACAGTAGGAGTCCTCCTCCTTCTGCATAGGGGATGCCCCAAAGTCAGGAGAAGGAGCCAGAGATATTGTGACCTGTCCATGCAGAAAAAGATGTCAATAGGGAAGCCATGCAGTGGCACTCCAGTGCAGAGAAAAGTCCACAATCATCATTTATGAGGCAAGATTAGCCCCATCCCTGTTAGCCTTTCAGAAGGCCCTGAAAACGTGGTTTTTCTAGTGACCTTGGAGATCCCACGGGGACTCTGCATGATGGTTATAGTGTGTTTTGATGGATGTTCTTCTCCCACCATCTTGCTTTTATTTATTTTTTAAGTTTGTAACAGCTGCAATATTGTTTTCATTGTTGGCTGTACGCTGCCCAGAATCACATGCTGTGATATGGGTGGCCATATAAATGTGTCAAATAAACAAATAAGTAAATAAAGATTCATAAAAGGGAGGAAGGGAAAGATAAAGTAGTGGTGTTGGTGGTAGCGGTAGAGACTGGGTATCTGATAGGTGAAGGCTACTATGTGGGCAGAACTTCAGATAAAAATTGGCTTGGATTAAGCTTTGGTGAATGTTGATTGTTTTTATAAGAAAATGAAAATGCCCATTCCAAACTCTTTTATTTGCTAGAAGAAAAAAGGGAATGTAAGCCAGCTCCGTAGAGAAGATGGGGATGAGAGAAATGCAGACACAGTGTCTTAAAGAAATGTAAAAGCTTGAGATGTATAGGAACAAGTGGGCAGTGAGTTTTTTCTTTGCAAATTGGAAGGGGCAAGTCAAATCTCAGGCAGTTTTGAGAATTTGAATGCAAACAATGGACAGCTATGAAATGGAGAAGCAGACAAAGAGATTGTACCAAGAAAGAGGACCAGACAATTTCAAGAATCCAAAGGGAAGATCCTGCAGCAACTATTAAGCGCTCCTTACCCGGAGGCAGCGTGTGAGGTAAGAAAAGATGGTGGCTTTGAGTGGGAAGGCTTCTCCTCGCACCACAGAGTACGGCAAGGTGAGTTCAATGAAGAACGGCTGGAAGACATTCAGAGAAGTGGGCTGGGCCAGGCCAAAGCCCCTGTCTGCCGAAAGACAGAAAGCTCCAGCTTTCCATTTGGTGATGGTGTCTGGGATGGTCACGGGAACAGCCATCTGTTTGGATTCTTCAGATACATCACTGTTTCTACTGGACTGATGGAGGTGGGAACTCCTATTTTCTTCAGAACCACTGAAGGGCACAAGAGAACGAAATGTGAGAAGGGATTCTAGAAACCCGTGTGCGAAGCAAGCTACTACTGTGCTTCTCTTAGGATTCCACCTCCAAGATAGAAGAAAGAGTGGAGTATCAGCCCAGGAGGAGCACAGCTTTCAGTAGATGTTAGCTTAAGCAGGGATTCCAAGGACATAGCAACTACTCTTGACAGACACTAGGAGCACCTACCTCTTGGTGCTAAACTGAATGCACTGATCCATGGATACAATGTCTGCTTATTAGAGGCTTTGAAGGTCCAAGCAAGCTTCTGTAGATGCCAAGTGTTAATTACTGTGACAGCAAAGGAACTGCCAAGGTTATACCAGTTAACAATCTAACTAGCTGTCACTGTAGACTAGTGATCCCTTGACTTAGTTTTACTCTTCAGTCTTCCTCCCTTATGAATCTGGACTGCTAGATTCTCCGAACACCTCCACTCAAACTCCAATTGTCTAGGTATCTGCCTGTCTCGGAAGAAACCTAGCCTGGGTTTTTTGACCCCCGACTCTAACAATAGCTGTCTTCTTGTGCCCTTTAGACCTTAAATTGCTTTGGGTCTTTGGCAGTGGTTTTCAAACTGTTTCAGGTCACAGAACTTGTTAGTAAATATATATATATATATATATTACTAACAGGAGGTAGGTGCTCCTAGTGTCCATTAAGAGTAGTTGCTATCTCCTTGGAATCCCTGCTTAGGCTAACATCTACTTTGCTTCTTGATCAGGAGTTCTGGAATGAATGAATGAATGAATGAATGAATGAATGAATGA